ATTCTGCCCCTGGCCCTTCCCAAATCACATGTCCTCACATTTCAAAACTAATCATGCCTTCCCAAAAGTCCCTCAAAGTCTTAACTTGTTTTGGCATTAACTCAAAAGTGCACAGTCCAACATCACCTCTGAGACAAAGGCAAGTCCCTTCTGCCTATGAGCCTGTAAAATCAAAAGCAAGTTAGTTACTTCCTAGATACAATGGGGGTGCAGGCATTGGGTAAATACAGCCATTCCAAATGGGAGAAATTGGCCAAAACAAAGGGGCTACAGGCCCCATGCTAGTCCCAAATCCAGTGAGGCAGTCAAATCTTAAAACTACAAAATGAGCTCCTTTGACTCCATGTCTCACATCCAGGTCACACTGATATAAGAGGTGGGTTCCCATGGTCTTGGGCAGCTCTGCCCCTGTGGCTCTGCAGGGTACAACCTCCCTCCCAGCTGCTTTCACGGGCTGATGTTGAGTGTTTACAGATTTTTCAGGCACATGGTGCAAGCTGTCAGTGGATCTACCATTCTGGGGTCTGGAGGTCAGTGGCCCTCTTTTCACAGCTCCACTAGTCGGTGCCCCAGTAGGGACTCTGTGCTGGGGCTCTGACCCCACGTTTCCCTTCCACACTGCCCTAGCAGAGGTTCTCCAAGAGGACCCCACCCCTGCAGCAAACTTCTGCCTGGACATCCAGGCATTTCCATGCATCCACTGAAATCTAGGCAGAGGTTCCTAAACCCCAGTTCTTGACTTCTGTGCACTTGCCAGCTCAACATCATGTGGAAGCTGCCAAGGCTTGAGGCTTCCACCCTCAGAAGCCATGGCCTGAGCTCTATGTTGGCCCCTTTCAGCCACGGCCGGAGCAGCTGGGACTCAGGGCACCAAGTCTTGAGGCTACACAGAGCAGGAGGACTCTGGGCTCTGCCTATGAAACCACTTTTTCCTCCTAGGCCTCCAGGCCCATGATGGGAGGGGGTGCCATGAAGACCTCTGACATGGTCTGGAGATATTTACCCCATTGTCTTGGGGATTAACATTCAGCTCCTTGTTACTTATGCAAATTTCTGCAGCTGGCTTGACTTCCTCTTCAGAAAACGGGATTTTCTTTTCTACTGCATTGTCAGGCTGCAAATTTTGCAAACTTTTATGTTCTGTTTTCTTTTTGAAACTGAATGCCGTCAATAGCACCCAAGTCACCTCTTGAATGCTTTGCTGCTTAGAAATTTCTTCTACCAGAAACCCTAAATCATCTCTCTCAAGTTCTAAGTTCCACAAATATCTAGGGCTTGGGCAAAATGCTGCTAGTCTCTTTGCTAAAACATAACAAGGGTCACCTTTGCTCCAGTTCCCAACAAGTTCCTCTTTTCCATCTGAGACCACTTCAGCGTGAACTTTATTGTTGACATCACCATCAGGATTTTGGGCAAAGCCATTCAACGAGTCTCCAGGGAGTTCCAAATTTTCCCACATTTTCCTGTCTTCTGAGCCCTCCAAACTGTTCCAACCTCTGCCTGTTACCAGGTTCCAAAGTCACTTCCACATTTGTGGGTATCGTTTCAGCACTGCCCCATTCCCGCTACCAATTTACTATTTTCATGCTGCTGATAAAGATATATCCGGAACTGGGCAATTTACAAAAGAAAGAGGTTTAATTGGACTCACAGTTTCACATGGCTGTGAGGCCTCACAATCATGGCAGAAGGCAAGGAGGAGCAAGTCACACCTTACATGGATGGCAGCAGGCAAAAAAAGAGAGAGAGCTTGTGCAGGGAAATTCCCCCTATAATACTGTCAGGTCTTGTGAGAGCTATCAGTTATCATGAGAACAGCATGGGAAAGAACTGCCCCCATGATTCAGTTACCTCCCACTGGGTCTTTCCCACAACATGGAGGAACTCAAAATGAGATTTGGGTGGGGACACAGCCAAACCATATCAGGGTGTAAGGTCTCAGGGTGTGTGCTTTCCCTTTTCCCAGCTCCTGAGAACAGTATATTTAGGGGGAAAAGAATCTAAGAAAGGAGTTCCATCTCCTGCATAATGCATAAATAAAAGAGATGATATTTAAAATGTCATTTTGATTTATTTTTCTATAGTACAGTTGAGACTGTACTATAGAGAAGTACTATAGACTGTACTATAGAGAAGATCACAATATCACCTGGTGTCAAAGCGAGGACTAGAACTTGGGCCTCCTGACTCCTAGGCTGCAAATCTTCCTCATGAGCTAAAGAGGTTGGGGAAAAATGGAAGGCTGGATGGGGTTCACTGGGGACAAGATGTTAACTAAAGGAGGAAGCAGGCCTAAACCTCTTGCCTCAGAGGGCTTGTCTGTGGAAAAGGCATTCTCAAGGGGGCCAAGACATGTGTGCAGTGAGTGGGGTGGGGTTGGAGATGGGGAGAGTGAAGGTTTTTGTGTGTGTATGTGTGTGTGAACGTCCTCACATCACTGTGAGAGGTCTTCCCGTCCCTCTCTCTGCCTCTGCCCACCACCACTTGGTCTTTGTGTCTTGGAGAGTGAAATTCAGAGGAACAAAAATTCTTTTAAGGTTTTTGAATATGACCAGATAGATAAGGCAAGGCTGTGTTTAATAACCTGGGCAGGAATCTTTGCTAGTTTATTTGCAGAAGCCAAACTTATGTCTGTCAGGTAATTACAAAATAATCTGTCACATTAGAGGCAAGGACAGAGCATAAAAGGATCTTGTCCATAGCCCCTGGGCACATTGGCCCCCAGGCCTTCTCTGCTCAGAAGCAGGAGGAAGAGCAGTACCACAGAGGTGCACCCACAACCAGCTCCCAAGGCCTTTCTCTCTCTGTGGGAGGGCAGTACTGGTCAGAGTCGGAGGGACGAGGGCCTTCTCCTCCCCCAGGGGCTGCTTCAGGGCACTGAGAGGGCAGAGGAGGGTCTCAGCATTCCTCAGTCAACTGATGTTAGGTTGAATGGTACGTGTGTCTGTGTCTATATGCATGTATGCTTCATGTATGTCATAGCTTAGCTGAGATTCAAAGGATGCACAGGTATTAATGGCTGAAGGAGGGGGAAGCATGTGTCTACAAGAGGAGAGGGCCACATGGAAGGAGGAAAAATGACACTTGACTCACACCTGTAATCCTAGAATTTTGGGAGGCCAAGGCAGGTGGATTGCTTGAGCCAGGAGTTCTAGACTAGTCTGGCCAATGTGGCAACACCCCGTCTCTACAAAAAAATACAAAAAATTAGCCAGGTGTAGTGGTGTGCATCTGTGGTCCCAGCTACCCGGGAGGCTGAGATGGGAGGATCACCTGAGCCCAGCAGGTTGAGGCTTCAGTGAGCTGTGATGGTGCCACTGCACTTCAGTCTGGTCGCCAGAGCAAGACCCCGTCTCAGAAAAGAACTTATTCATGTGACCAAACAACACCTGTTCCCCAAAACCCTACTGAAATAAAGAAAAAGAAAAGAAAACTGACACTTGAGGAATGAGAAAGGCTGTGTGGTTGGAGTAGAGAGAGTGAAGGGAAGGGCCATACCATGTGGACCCCTCAGTCTCCTTTCCAAGGGCCCTGGGAAGCCAAAGCTACTGTCACCCAGTGGCTCTGCTGAGGTCAGCAGGGGCCAGGGGACATCAAGATGGCTCTCTTATCACCCAGATATGAGAGGTGCTCAGGAGGCAGATAGCACGCTTCAGTGACAGACCAGATGGGGGCATTGGGGGAGAAAGTTGTTAGAAGTAACTTAGATTTCTGGGCTTAGGCATGTGGCCCACTTAGGGGGATACAGAGTGAGGGTCTGTCCTTATGGCTATGTGCACAGAACTCCCTTTTTTAGATCTCACAGGGCTTAATTCAGGGACATGGGGTAACTGAGGGAGAATCTCAGCCTTGCCTTGTTCTGAGAACAGCAGCAACAAGGAAAGAAATCAAGAGAAACAATGTTGCAAAAATTCCTCACAGACCAGGCCAAAGCTTACATCAGCCAGTCATGTGGGTTTTAAGCTTGATTATTTAGTAAGAAATGAATTTGTCCTTGTAAGTGTTACAAGATCTGGCATTTACACCTGAGATGTGAAGGTGCTTGCATTTAAAAAAAAAAAAAAGAACAAAAAACAGCATAAGTTCTGAATAGTCAGGAAGTTTAAATGCAGCACTGGACAATCCACATAGAGCCTGAGGCTCAGCCCTTTTCACGGAGACATCACCCAGTTTCCCAAGGGTAGTGAGGAGGAGGTGGGGCAGGGGACACAAAAATGTGCATCAAGCCAGAAGACATGGGACCTCTCCATGGTCCATGCACATTTGCTAGGCCTTATGCACAGTCACCATGGCCATCTGGAAACACAGGAGCTTTTACCTGGGGGTGCACAGGCCAGGGGACTCCATGAGGAGAGTGTGTAGGACGTGGACAGGGAATTCCAGGGGAGCTCAGTAGGTGTTTAAGGCTGGAAGGGAGATGGAGAGGCCTGTAGGTAGTAGCAGCGAGTAGAGAAACCTGGATTAAACTCAGGCAATCTGGCTCCAGGACAGAAAGGCCTTTGAGGCAGAGGGAATGAAGAGAAGCCAGCAGGACTGAGCAGTAACTATTACGGGGAACAGGGGGGAAGGTGCATCCAGGTACTCGGGGGCCATGTGATAGGTTTTGGAATTTTGTCTCAATTCTATGCTGGAAGCTCGTCACAGGGATTTCAGGGTGCAAGAATGGTATTTTCCTGTGACCTCTCTGGTTCTAGCAGGAAAACAGTCTGCAGCATGAGACCAGTTAGGAGATACTGCAGTGGTCTAGGCAGGGGCAACAGTGGTCTGCATAAAGTAATTAACCAACTAGCTAAGCTCCTGAATACCTTCCTTCCCTTCCTCTTTCTTGCCGCCCTTTCCTCTATCTGCTTTGGTATCTCTGACCCCCCTTTTCTCTCCGCAGAAGGTAGAGGACACAGTGATAAGAACTCCACCCTGCTCAGTTTGCCACAACATGGACAGATTTTGCCATTCCCTCATCTTCATTTCTGAGGTGCCCTCCCTGCATTTCCCCACTCAGGATCATCCTTTTCTGTGCCTGCATGCTGACAGGGAGCAGCTGCTGGTATCTAGAACAACTCCCAGCTGTTCTTCCAACTTTTCTCAAGTGTTCCTTAGTGTCAATGCCTCTAATTAGTTAAAATAGGAAGGGGGGTGGTAAACAGAGGAGCACAAGAGAGGCCTAATTTTAGCTGTAGCCAAAAGGACTTTCCCCTAAATACACTGTGATCTCAAAATACTTAGCTAAGCCCATATGTACATGGTGGGGAGAGAATTTAAAGAGCTACAGAAGTAAAATTCGCTCGTCAAATGGGACAGCTCTGCCTCTTTGTACAACTGGATTAAAGAGGAAAGGAATGAAAATAAACTGAACCCTCACTCTGTGCCAGGAACTGGACCAGATGCTTTGTGTGCAGCAACTCATTTAATCCTCACAGCAACAGGATGATGATGGGACTGGTATTACCTCCATTTTACAGATGAGGAAACTGAGGCTAGGTGAGGCTGATGCTACTCTGTGCAAGACGACACAGCTAATGAGAGAGCAGGATTTAAATCTGGGCCTCTCTGGCTTAACTGTATCTAGCAAGAGGAAGATAGGGCCTCAAACCTAGGACAAAGAGGGCATTGGGAAGATAGCTTAAACAGGGATTTGGAGCAGGGAATCAGAGCCAGATTCCAGGGGATTCTGACTCTCAGAACACTCAGACATCATTATAGGAACTGGCAGGACTCACTCAGTGCCTCAACTTTATCCAATCCAAAAATCCCTCCCAGCCCTCACAAGGTATGCTGGAGGAATGACCAGATTGTCACTAACAACTTACAGGTAGATAAATCATATGGAGAATGCCCCCCACCCCCATCTCCTCTCCTCACTTCAGCAAAAAAAAAAGAAAGACAAAAACAAAAAACAACAAAACCCACTGCTTCCTGTAATCACAGGAGATACAATATTTAGCAAAGGAATACGAACTGGCTAATCACCCAACCCCCTATAACCTTCTTAAGGTTAGGGGAGAATCTGGGCTCCTTCAGAAAACAGGCCACCTGATAGGACTCATGGCGTCAGCTTCCTTCATTTCAGTTCACGCTTAAAAGGCCTCTTCACTGTGAAGCTTCCCAGTGAGGTTTTCCACGCACATCTGGACATTTTCCACAATAGGCCTTTGAAGAGGCCTGAAGTATTCCGGGAAAGTCTGCCTCACTGGGCTGAGGTTTAAAGAGCAGAAGCCCACATTTATTTTTCTTTCCCGCCTTCTTTGACAAAACTCCCCTCAGTGGTTTGTGGGCATTTGCAAAGCGGCCCTGATTTTCAGCTCACTACTTCTAGGGCTGAAATCTTAAAGAAAACGAACAACAAAAGAGCAAATTCAAAAGAGCATGGGTATCATCAATGACTGTTTATGTGTTCTGCTCCTCCACCAGACTCTGAGTCGTGCTGAGTCATCTCTGTAGCAGAGAGAAAATGGACTTTGGCCTCAAGCCCACTTGCTCCATCACTCAGCATTGGTGACATTTTGTCGAGTCACTTAAACTGTCTGAAGCTTGGTTTCCTGACCTGTGAGTTAACAGTGGCCTGCCTTGTGTGGGCTACCAAACGTTCATGAGGTGGGTTAGGTAAATCACTTTACATGTTGTCCGACATGGACTGACAGATCTGTGCTGTCTCCTTGGCCGGGTCCCTCTCCACTATTCAGGCTAACAGCTACTCATTGTTTACAACTCAACTCAGGTGATGGTTTTCTTCTCTGGCAATACTTTACCCCTACCTCCCTCTTGCTTGGGCTAGATGAGGTATGTGTCCTCAGTGCTTTAAAACTTCCCTATTCTCTGAGCTGTGGCTTATTGTTATTTTAGTTGTAAGTGTATGTCCACCATGCCCCGCCCCCACACCACTGTAACAATGTAGGCAGCTGATGTCTTTCCACACTAAGCACAGTGCCTGGTATAACAATATGCTCAATGACTGCCAAGAGATTAATCAGTCTATTAGCAACTATTTATTGGCCCGCTTACTTTGAGTCAGGTGCTATTCTGGCTACTGAAGCTGTAGCTATGAATAAAACAGACATAGCCCCTGCTTTCATAAGCTTACATTCCAGTAGAGAAAGTCAGGAAGTACATTAAAGACACGTAGAGACTTGTGGTTATAGCTCCAACATGTAAAAACTGTGTAAGTCATTAAGCCCATCCTTACTCCAAAAAAAAAAAAAGAAGCTAAGAAACTATAAATCACTGATTTTTCTTGGATCCATAAGAGAACTGAAGTTACAGGACAAACTATCACTCTGAAATCTGAAGACAAAGGACAACCCAGACAGTCACAGCTGAGCTCTTACTTGGAGGAGCAGCTGCTGGAGTCATAAACTGGTAGGGACACTTCAGTGGGAATTTGAAGTATTGGGGGCTGAAATGGGAATTTGAAGTGTTGGGACTAATAAGAAAGTGAGCAACTCCTGAGGGTAACAGTCTTAGTGGAAGGGGGCCCACACTTTCATTGGTTTTACCTCCAGGAATGCAGAGTCGAGAATGATCCCCTCTTGGCTCTGGCAGGGGGAGGGAAAGGGTAAACACTGTAAAATGTTTTTTACAGTGTTTTTCCATAACAGAGAGTTCTCCATAACAAAGACCTTCTCTTAAGAGCAAGAGACTTTACCAAAGCCTATTGCACCCAGGAGAAGGACATATCTCCAACTCTATTGCCTGCGAGCCTTCCTGTCTCACCTAAAGGAGTAGGGGCTAAGAACATCTATGAAGGTCACAGCTCAGGGACATAGGCCCACTAAAAGACAGATTAATCAAAAGATTATAGAATGCTTTACCTTCCCCATACCTTGAAACCACATCGACATGACCCCAGTATAATATTAGTGAATTACAACTCAAACAGCAGCAAGACATAGAATCTATCTAAGAAGCAGATCTTAGGGAAGCCAAAGACAATAGCAGGGATGAAAATAAGGACAACAGAAGAATGTGAGGCCTCTGGCATTACAACTATAACAAACATTAAACACAGCTCAATTTCTAACACAAAATGTCACATATAGACCTATTTGTCTCAGTTCCTATTACCAGATACATCATATCCAGGTTTCAACAAAATATGAAAAGGCATTCTAAAAGGCAAGAAAAACACAGTCCAAAGAGAGAAAGCAAGAATCAGAACCCAACTCAGATATAACACAAATGTTAGAATTATCAGAGAATTTAATGCAACTATGATTAATAAGTGTTCTAATGGAAAAAGTAAACACTATGCACAAACAGATGGACAATATAATGAGAGATGAAAATACTAAGAAAGTATCTAAAAGAAATCCTAATAATAATAATAATAATAATAATAAAAACACCAACAGAAAAAAAGAAGGCCTTTGATGGCCTTAACAAGGCGAGGAAAGAATCAGTGAATTTGAAGATACATCAGTTAAAAGCTTCCCAAACTGATATGCAAAAAGAAAAAAGAATGGAGGGAAACACCCAAGACACCCAAGAAAAATTTCAAAAGGTACAACATATGCACAATTAGAATATGAGGCTAACAAAGTGAGAGTGGAGCAGAAGAAATATCTGAAGTCATAATGACCAAGAATTTCCCAAAATAAAGAACAAACACCCAACAACAGATCCAGAAGTTTAGAGAACACCAAGTAGAATAAATATGAAAATATCGAAACCTAAGAAAATAATAATCAAAAATAAAACCAAAGACAAAGAGGAAATTTTGAAAGACGCCAAAGGGGGCAAGAAATCCGCCTTATCTATAGAGAAACAAGCATAGGATTTACAATGAACTTCTCAGAAAACTATGTAAATAAAACCAGAATGGAGCAAAATGTTTAAAATGTTGAAAGAAAAACCTCACTAACCTAGAATTCTATGCCCAGTGAAATTATCTTTCAAACATAAAGGAGAAAGAAAGATTTTTCTCAAATAAAAGTTTATTGAAAGGAGACCTACACTACAAAAAATGTTGAAAAAAAAGTTATTCAGAGAGGATAGTGATATAGGTCAAAAACTTGGACCTACATAAAAGAAAAGGATCAGATAAGAAATAAATGAAGGTAAATGATAATATTTCATTTTTTTACTCTTAATTGATCTATAATTATATGTTTAAAGTAACAATAGTAACAATATATTGAGTAATTATAGCAAATGGATAAATGAAATAAATTACAGCAATGTTATAATAGATAGGAAGGAGGAATTGAAAGTACTTCCTTATAAGGTAACTGCACTACATGTAAGTGGTATAGCGTTATCTGAAGCCAGACTTAGGGAAATTACTAACTTTTAAAAAAAGAAGTATAATTGATATGCTAAGAGAGGAGAGAAAATGAAATCACATAAAATGCCTGATAAATACCAGTGAAAGGGAAAGAGGAAAAAAAGGTAAACAAAGAATAAATGTTACAAATATAAAATAGTTACAAACATGGTAGATAATAATCCAACTATATCAATAATCACTGTAAATGTGAATTGTCTAAATATACCGATTAAAAGAAAGAAATTGCCATAGATGATAAAAAGAATAAGGCCTACAAAGAAACCCACTTTTAACTTAGATAGGTTATAAGTAAAGGGATGCAGAAAGCTATACAATGCTAACACTCATCAAAATAAAGTTGTAGTAGTTACATTAATTTCAGACAAAAGAGACATTGGAGACAAGGAGGGGAAAAAATAGTAATTTAAATCCAAAGAAAGCAGAAGACAGGTATTGTGACACCTCTGGTCTTGTTCTTTTTGCTTAGAATTGCTTTGGCTATTCAGGCTCTTTTCTGGCTCCATATGAATTTTAGAATAGGTTTTTCTAATTCTGTGAAAAATGATGTTGATAGTTTGATAGGAAGAGCATTGAATCTGTATGGGCAGTATGGCCATTTTAACAATACTGACTGCTGCAATCCATGAGCATGGAGTGTTCTGGCATTTATTTGTTTCATCTCCAATTTCTTTCAGCAGTGTTTTATAGTTCTTCTCGTAGAGACCTTTTACCTCCTTGGTTAGCTATATTCCTAGGTAATTCATTTTATTTGTGAATATTTTCAAAGAACTTAAAACAGAGCCCATTCAATGTAGCAATCCCATTACTGGGTATACATCCAAAGGAAACGAAATCATTTCACCAAAAAGATATATGCACTCGCATGTTCATTGCCATGCTATTCATAATAGCGAAGACATAATCAACCTAGTTGTTCATCAGTGGTGGACTGGATAAAGAAACTGTGGAACACGTACATCACATTACTATGCAGCCATAAAAAAGAACAAAATCATGTCCTTTTCAGCAATGTGGAGGCAGCTGAAGGCCATTATCCTATGCAAATTAATGTAGGAACAGAAAACCAAATATCACATGTTTTCACTTGTCAGTGGGAGCTAAACACTGAGCAGACATGGACATAAACATGGGAACAAGAGACACTGGGACCTCCAGATGGGGACAGGAGGGAGGGGAGACATGGCTTGAGAAACTACCTAGTGTAAGATGCTCACTACCTGGGAGACAAGATCTGTACCCAAACCTTAGCACACACAATATAAGCATGTAACAAACCTATACATGTACTCCTTGTATATAAAATAAAAGTTGAAATTCAAATTTAAAAAAAGCAGAAGAAATAATAAAAACTAGAGCATAAATCAATGAATGTGAGTACAGGAAAGCAATAGAGAAAAGTCAATGAAACCAAAGCTGGTTCTTTAGAAACAGCAATAAAACTGACAAACCTTTAGCCAGGGTAATCAAGATAAAAAGAGAGAATTTGCAAATTACTAACATAGGCAGCTAAAAATAATTTAGATGAAATGGACTACTTCCTTGAAAGACAAAAACAATCAAAATTAACACAAGAAATAAATCATCTGAATAGAGCTGTATCCACTAATGAAACTGAATCAATAATTACTTACCTTCCAAAAACCAAAGTGCCAGGCCCAAATGGTTTTACTAGTGAATTTTACCAAATATTTAAGGAAAAAATTATACCAGTTCTTTACCATGTCCTCCAGGAAAACAAAAGCAGAAGAAAAACTTCCTGGCTCATTCCATGAGGCCAGCATTACTCTATTACTAAAACCAGACAAAGACATTACAAAGAGGAAAGCCAAAATCCACTATCTCTCATGAATACAGATGAAAAATATTCTCAATATAATATTAGCAAATCAATCCAACAGTGTGTAAAAGGAATTATATGCCACAACCAAATAAGATTTACTCCAGGTATACAAGGTTGGTTCAACATTCAAAAATCAGTCAATGTAATCCATTACATCAACAGATTAAATAAAAACAATTATATAATCATATTAATAAATGCAGGAAAAGTATTTGAAAAAATCTAACAATCATTTTTTATTGTGATTAAAAATTAAAAATTCCCAGCAAACTACAAATATAGAGGATTTTCCTCACCTCGATAAAGAACATGTACAAAAAACTCTACAGCTATTAACATACTTGATGGAAAATTGGATGCTTTCCCACTAAGATCAGGAACAAAGCAAGAATGTCCTTTCTCACCACTCCTATTCAAGATTGTACTGGAAGTCTTAGCTAATGCAAAAGACAAAGAAATGAAAAGGCAAACATACTGGAAAGGAAGAAATAAAACTGTCTTTATTCTCAGATGACTTGAATGTCTATGTGGAATATCACAAAGAATGAACAAATCAACCAACCAACCCAATGACAACACCAACAAATCCTGGAACTAATAAGCAAGCGAGTAAGGGTATAGGATACAGGGTTAATATGCAAAAATCAATTTCTTTCTAGCAATTACCATCAAGGAAAAAACTGGAATTTGATTTAAAAAAATACCACTTACAATAGCATGCTGCAAAAACAAAAAAAACCAAAAACCAAAACAAAACAAAACAAAAAAACCCCCACAACAACACTTAGGTACAAATCTAACAAAAGTACACAGAATCTGTATGTGGAAAATTACAAAACTCTGATGCCATAAATAAAAAATGATCTAAACAAATGGAGAGAGATTCTATGTTCATGGGTTCGAAAACTCAATATTGTTAAGACGACAGATTCTCCCTATGTGTTTGATAGATTCAATATAATACAATTCAATATAACACAAATTGAATTCTCAGCAAACTATTTTGTAAGTATCCATAAAATGATTCTAAAATTTATATGGAAAGGCAAAAGATCTACATTAATCAACATAATACTAAAGAAAAAGAACAAAGTCAGTGAACTGACACTACCCAACTTCATGACTTACTGTAAAGCTACAATAATTAAGACAGTGTAAGGTTGGGGAAAGAAAAGACAAATAGATTAATGGAACCAAGGAGAGAACCCAGAAATAGACACAAATATAGTCGAC